AAATTTTATGGTAACAACTTGTCCATTAAATAAAAAACACGATACTTATTAATTAGAAATAATAAAATATTTAAAAAGCTAACTAGTTTTTAAAGTAATTTTAAGCAAACAGGATATATAAGTAAGAATGCTCTAATTAATGGCCAATGGTGTATGTATCATATATATATATATATATATATATATATATATATATATATATATATATATATATATATATATATATATATATATATATATATATATATATATATATATATATATATATATATTTATATACATATATATATATATATATATATATATATATATATATATATATATATATATATATATACATACATATATATATATATATATATATTTATATACATACATATATATATATATATATACATATATATATATATATATATATATATATATATATATATATATATATATATATATATATTTATATACATACATATATATATATATATATATATATATATATATATATATATATATATATATATATATATATATATATATATATATATATATATATATATATATATATATACTGTATTATATAACATAGTATACTATGCTTGGACATATATTATTATTTTTAATATTTTATTATTTTTCAGAGTTTGATTTGTATGCATTAATTGTGTTTGCATACAATTGTTGTAATGGTGTTGTAATATAATATGCACACAAATTTATTGGATACAAATTGTATATAATATATAGTTAAATGATTATGATATATTATAAAAACTATATTTTATAGTTTATATTACCTATATTATAAAAACAAATATAAATTAAATGCTATATAAACTATGTAATATGTAATATAATACATTTATATTTAACTTATATATAAATATTTTATCTTACATACTTTATAAGTAACTTGTGAACTTTTTAGCATTTTTTTTTTTGCATTTATAGTATAGTCATTCACATATAATTATATATTATAATTTATATTATAATCATTCACATATAATTATATATATATATATATATATATATATATATATATATATATATATATGTATATATATATATATATATATATATATATATTTATATATATATATATATATATATATATATATATATATATGATATATATTATATACTATATATATATATATATATATATATATATATATATATATATATATATATATATATATATATATATATATATATATATATATATATATATATATATATATATATATATATATATATATATATATATATATATATATATATATATATATTAGCTATATACCTTAATATAAATGTATCATACATCTACAAAAGTAGTGTTGGGTGAATTCTATTTTTGTTCAGAAAAAAATTGAATACTCAGATCTGAAAACAATTTCAAATCAAGACAAGACTATTCGAAATAAAAAAGTAAAAATTATTAAATTCTATCGCTCAGATTTTTAGAAAAACAGTTTTGAAAATGTAAACAAATCACGCTTTTAACAGTCAGATAAATGTAGCAGAGAATCACAGTTTTTTATATATTTAAACATCTTTATATTGTTTTTATCATTTTTGAATCAACAATTCAATTATCTTTATTATTATTTCATTCTATCAAAAATATGCAAATAATAACTTCTAAGTAAAACTTTAAAAATATTGTTGCTACTCAAAAAAATTTTGGTATCTAAAGGCCGTCACCATCTTTAAAATTATAATATTTGAATTTGACACTGCGCTTGCGTATAATAACTTTCCACATCTAAACGACCGTGTCCTATTGGCACGTCAGTTGTAGCACGCAAAATACTTTCTTGAGATGTTGAAAAAAAAAAAAGAAATAGATATTTTACTGTGTTTATTTCTTAAAAGCAATCTTTATAAAATACGGTTAAAAAGGATTCAGACATTAAGAAACTATATCGGCTTTTTTTTCCTCCAGCTATTTTGTTTTATACTTGTATATTGTACATATTTTGAAACGACGAAATGTGCTAATATAAACGAAATTAAAAGAATAAAGGAAGTAATAAATTTGAAGTTATTAAAAATATAAACAGAAATAAACAATTAGAATTGAGAAAATTTATTGAAATACCGTTTTTTTTCAAAGATTTCATACATCGATTATTTAGAAATTATTATCTTTTAAACAAATGTTAGTCGACTAATATCATTTTAACAAAGGCTAGTAGATAAAAGTTTGTGTATATATTTTTTCTATTTTTAATAGCAAAAAGAAGAAAAAAAAAGTTTTACAATTGGTGTTTTAAAAAAGTTTTCACCTTAGTCTTTTCAACAGGTGTTTCCAAAACTTTACAATTATCAATGCATCTAAAAACAAAAAACTATTTTCCGAACCGTTCGTTATCCGTACGGTTCGCGTAAAAACGTTTGTTAACGTTTGCTAAAATTTCTTTGTACTTAGTTTTCTGCATTTTTTAATTAAAAAACAAAAGGAAATACTGGTATCTAACTGTACTTTTTAATGATGCTTGCGTAACGTTCGCAGTAAACGTGGATCGAAACATCCGGTGTTTGTAAGATCCTGTTGACTATATAAACTCTAATTATGGCTAAAACTAACTCTGTTCAACCTAAACCCTCATCACAAAACACTAAAACTAGCAACCAGACAAAAACTTCTGAAATGTCTAGCAATGATAATAATAAAAAACCTAAAGTAGTTTCTGAATCAGGTGCCGGTGTAACAGGATTCCAACTATTTATTTTCTTCTTGGCATCTACATCACTTGCAATAAACGCTGCTTTTATATATGGATTGATTCCTATTCAAGGTTATTTTTCTTTTTCTTTGCTTAATTTTTTATTGTTTACGCAGTAAAATAATTGTTAGAGTTTTTTATATATATATGTTTTTATTATTGGACGTGAAAACTAAATATTTATAATTTAGTCATTAAAATAATTTAGTAACTTTTCAGTTTATAAGTGTAGGAACAAAAAAAATTAATGACTTTTTGTTTAAGAAAAAAAAAATCAAAAACAAAACTACGTTATAAAAACAATTTTTGTATAGCTTTGCATACCTTTTTTATTACTGTTTGATCTTTCATGTTAAACATACTTTTTAAAATGTAAATTTTTGTAATGATAAAAATTTATTGAAAGCTAATTTTTTTCTTTATTAATTATGAGTTGTGTTTTTGTTTAAATGACATAAATTATGTATTACACTGCTATTCTAAGGCATAGTAATTTCTAATTAAAATATGAAAATGTTTTGTTCAAAAATAAAAATGATTACAAATGCTGATAAATTTGGCATCTTATAACATTCAAGTGAAACAATAAAATCAAATCCAGTATGTCCTGCTTTGTTTACAATGCATATCAATTAAGCTAATGGTTTCATTTCTAAATAAAAAGCATATATTGTTCACTAACAATTATAATGCAAGCCATTGTCCAATAGACAACTATGAAGTTATTTGGAGTTTTTATTTCATAAATCAAAAATTCTACGTATTCTAAATAAGTAGAATATTGTATAGAGGTATTAAATAACAAGTTGCAAAAAGAACTGTTGCTTTCTACAAATCTCGCAATAAAGAAAATAAAATTCTAGTCTGCAATACTGTGCAGCTTAACACATATCAGGTAATAAGTAGAATATTGTTATATGCTGTCAGTGTATCACAATTTGGTTATTGTAGAAGCAACAAAATCTAAAAAAGATAATAAAATAATACCTAAAACATGAGTGGTCAAGTCATTCATTATGCACATGAGTAGGTTGATCAGAAACTACACAAAATTTAGTTTCGAAATCCTACAAGTAGTATAAAATGTTTTTTGTTTAATTCTTCAGTGTTTTTAAAATTAAGAAAAACTTTTTAAATATCATTGAACCAGTAACATCTCCATGGTTTTTTTACTGAGTAATATCAAGGTAACATTTTTATTAACCTCAGAGGTCCAGTACAAACCTTGTGTTGTTGTTTGAGATGATTTAGATGGACTTTCTGGCAGGCACTTTGTTTTAATGCAAGGGCTCTCAACATTTTCTATTCCATTTCCCAAACTATATATCATAAAATTTAAACCCCTTATTTTCAAAATTTATTACTAGATGCGACATTTTTTATGTTTTTTTTATTCATAAGGAATATATTTTACTAAATGTATTTTTGAATAGACTATTTGCAAACATTGTTAAGCAATATAATTACACAAAAATATGTTATCTTAATTAGTTTATATATGATACATAAACTACTCAATGTGAATTATGGCACTACTTACCAGCAATATATTTCTGCAAAATGGGTTAGTTTTTGATAGAGCACATCTAATAAATAACATAGATGAAAACTGGTTTTGCACAAACATGATCTTGAAAACTGTATAAAGGCTTAAATACAATTGATGAAATTAGATTAGATTAGATTTCTTGTTTTGTGCTATTATATGTTAAACCTTACTCTTCTACTATATTCTGTTAAGTTTAGTATATAATCCCAGTTATCCATCTTTTTAGTTTTATCCAACTTTTCTCTTCAATGATTTAAATTTTCAACCAAGTTAACCAAAAGCCCTTTATGGTCCAAATTTGAGTGATCCATGAAAAGCGAGGGGAGTTTCTTTTTATAATTATTTTAATTTTGATTATTTAAGATGTTCTAAAAGATAAAATGGTTACAAAACACTGTAAAAGAGTGTTTAACAAGGAAATTCACACTGCTTTTTATTACAAATGTTGCATACACATGTTCATCTTTTTTTTAAGCAAGTGTCAAAAAAATATAAAATTTATTGAAAAATTCTAAAAAATATAAAATTTATTGAAAAAAAAAATTATTAAAAAAAACGCAGTAAAAATTGACTTTTTTCTTTTTTAGTATTTTTTATGCTGTTAAATCTAACATATTTGTTTTTATATAATATAGTTATCAATTTTAAAACTTTGATATGGTTTTGCTTCATTTGAGACCAATATCATACACTTTAAAATAATTTTTTTTTTTGTTGATAATATTAGGAACTTGTTATATGTTCAAAGATTTTGAGTGACTGCCAAAAAAATTTTTTTATTCCAATATTTTTTAAAAATAGTTTTTTTTTAATCATAAAAAAACACTATTTTTAAAAGAACACATTAAGGGAGTGGCTGCATAATTTTTTCAAAAAGTTTGTTTTTTGGGACATGCTAATATATATATATATATATATATATATATATATATATATATATATATATATATATATATATATATATATATATATATATATATATATATATATATATATATATATATATATATATATATATATATATATTAACAATATAGAAATTGTTTTTTGATCTTGTTATATTTAAGAGTGTTAAATTACATTCAACACCATAATAATATAGAAACTGTTTTTGGATGTTGTCATATTTAAGAATGTTAAATTACATTCAAGTGCAAGCACATACTTTAATGGTTTAAGTCATAAATCTTTGACTACGTAACTTTTTTATATTTATTATAATTCTTTTTTTTTTTAATGTCTTTATCTTTTTTTATATAACTTATTATTATAAAAATAACGATATGGAAATTTATTTAAAATATATTTTTAATGTAAAGTTAAATAATGTGAAATAGTTAATAGCGTGAAAAAGTTAACTCTATGTGAAATTCAATAAATAACAATATCAAAATTGAATGATAAAATTCTAATTTGATAAAATTCTAATTTTCTAATTTTATATTTTCTTTATATTCAGGATGTACTGGCCCAGCAGGTTTGAGAGGTGAAAAGGGTAAACTTTATTTTTCGTAATCATTTTTTTTAAGCTTATGTTTTAATATTCATTATATAATACTATTTTAGCTTAACATATTTTGAGGATAATATTTTTTTTAAAGTCTGACACTTTGTCATAATATATATTTTTATTAGGCGAAACTGGACCACCAGGTGCACAAGGTATTCCAGGTAACCATTAAAATCATTTTTATTTATACCTTATTAATATGAAAACCTTAAGACTAATCTAAACCTATAGGTTAATAAATAAGTAAAATCTTGAGGCTAATCTAATTTTTTTTTTTGTGGTGCAACAAAAATTATTGAAAACTCATAAAAATCACATAAACACATAAAAATTTTATAAGCAAATGTATTTGTGCATGTTGTTTACTTGAATTATCATGCTAGCTTAAATTATAATAACTGTTTATTAAATTTTGGATTACTCTGCTTTATTTGATATTAACATTTTAAAATTTTTATTTTAACTTCTTGTAATAAATTTTAGGTCCCACAGGTCCAATTGGTGAAGTAGGTCCAAGAGGTTTTCCTGGCATTCAAGGTGAACCAGGTAAGATTTTATGGTGAACCAGGTGAGATTTTATGGTGAACCAGGTGAGATTGTAGTTTGAATCTGAGTATTTTAATCAAAACTTTTTTGTCAATCTTTTTTTGTCAAAAGACCTACATTAAATAATTTTGAAAAAAATTCTTTCAATATAGTCTCATTTAATGCATAAGGTATTAGATCACTAATAAAATAGAATTCTTTAAAAATTACATTATGAATATTATTCACTAAATTGATTAAAGTTTCCTTTTAAATGACAAAATTTTAAATTTTTTAGTTACAGAAATTTGATCCTAGAAACCCAAAAATATCATCTACTATTTGTGTTATTAACTTGAAATTTTTTAAATTTACTTGTTTAGTGGAGTAAAAGTGGGCAAAATATTAAAAAAAGTAATGGGACAAAATTTTTCCATTACTTTAAATATTTTTCAATTAAAGTGATAGGATAAATGTGAAGTTATACAGAAATCAGCAAATATAGTTGCAAAATTCAAAACCCATATAGCCAAAATGAAGCATAAGTATCAATCAATAAACAAAAGGTAGTTTCAGAGTTGCTATCACCACATCTGGTTATTTATTAAAAAAAAAAAAAAAACTAGTTGTAATTTCCTTTTTAGCTGTATAGCAACAAAATAACAGTTTTTCTACAAAAAAATAAAAAAAAACTTGCTCATATCGCTTTATTAAAAAAGGATTTAAAAGGTTTTAGATTTTTTTTTCATAAAAATAACTCCAAATTCCAATTTTACAATAACTATATTACTTAAAAAATTAAATAATAAAAAAATGATTTTTTTGATTTTTAATAGTGGTAACGCCTTAACGGTTTTAAGCAATCTTTTTTGGAATTTTTTATTTAAAAAAAAAAGTACAATTAGGATTGCAGAGCTCACATTTTAAAATCTGTGTATAGTTTGGAGCAACCTCACATAAACATTTTTTTATATATTTTATATTATTTATATTTATTTCCCCAAAGCTGAGGGGCCGCTACAGTCAAGGAGACTACTTTTATTGTGGTTAAAACCCTCTCTCAACTCTTTAACATTGAAACATGAACCTTGACAAACAAGGCCACTGCGCAAGTTTAATGTGGTACTACCAGGGACACGGTAGGGATCAAACTCTGTAATTCTCGCTTAAGAAGTAACTGCTACACCACTACCCCTTTATTTATTTAGATTTTTGGATTGACACTGTCTTTATATATTTTGAACACCTTAAGTTTTAAAAATGCTGACTTGAATCTAGACCAATTTTTTAGAAAAAAAAGAAAAAATCAAAGAATAATAAAAAGAGCTTTTCACACCTAATAAATAGTAGATAGTAAATGCACAAACTCAAGTTCTTAGTCGATGTATCCTAAATGTTTAAGGCCAATGAATTAATTTTCTCAAGAACATTAATATTTTTATGTTCAGTTTTTATTAGGAATATTTTAATTCAAACTTTTGTTATTTTATTTGAAACAAAAGAAATTTAAAAAAAAAATAGTTTTTTTAAAATGATTTTTTCTTATTTACATCTTCCACTTATTTCTTTTTGATATTTAAATATTTAATATATATATTTAGGTGTTCCTGGTAAAGATGGCAAAAGAGGTTGTATAATTTGATTGTTCAAGTCTTAATTAGATTTATCTTATTTAGTCAAAAAAATAAATATTTTTTTATTTCTTTAAATACTACTTTATTAATAATTGTATTATTTTTGTTATATATCATACTGTTATCTTAAATATATTTTTATACTATTTATTTTATAATTTAATAAATATATCACAGGGCTCGAATTAAGTGTATTGCGAATCCTGATTGCTTAATTTGTTTCACACCTTCGCGATTATTTTTTTCTTGAAAAAATATTTTTGCAATTTTTTTAGTTTTGTTTTTTTTCTTTTTTTTTCTTTTCTAATTTAGCATATTTTTTTGACCATTCTTAAAAGTAATGTTTTTTTTTAGGAGTTTTTTTTTTTTTTAAAAAGTCTAAGTTTTTTTAGGAGTCTTGAAGTATATCACGCTAAATTTATATTTGGAATAAAAAGTATGATCATTTGCATAAAGATCATTTAACATTAAGTGCATTTGAATTTGAATTTAATTTAAATTACTTTAAATCTCTGTGTTTAAGCCAATAATATTTTAAAGTTATATTTAGTTTGATTTACTGAATGGATAAAAGTACATCACAGTAAATTTATAAACTAAATCAAAATAACCAGTTAAGTTGCAACAGTAACATACTGTTACTCAACTATTAAATTTACTTAATATACTCAAAGACTCGCAAAAGTTAGCCATACAAATTTCTCTTTATATCTTATATGTTGTTAACACATAACATAAGCTTCTTACTAAAAATTATTTTCACAAGGTCTTTATATTGTCAGAACAACTTCGCATTTTTAATTATTATTTTATAGCTTATTACAATAACAATTCAATTCTCTTAACACATGTTTTATTGTCAGCATGAAGGTATTAAATAGTTTTCTATAACTAATTAAAGTGGTTTAAATAGTGTAATATTTTCAGTTTTACTTTACTTTTTTACATTTTTAAGTATCATGTTAAGTAAAAGTAATTACTAAATATAATATCTTAAATTAAATTAAAAATTAAATGTTATATACTATAACTAGAACTTAAACTTAAAGTTATAACCTAAGCTATAAATTATAACAGTAACTTACACTATTTTAAACTATGCCAAACAAGAAAATTATTGAATAATATTTAAAATGAGAGATGTTATGTTAAAAAAAAAAAAGCTATTGCGAACTAATGTAGAAAAGATACAATTTTATACTAATGTAACCCCTTTTACCGCAAAGTAGTGCCAGAGAGGGGCTTTAAATTTTTTTTTTTATTGCTGTTAATTTAAGTCCTGTATTGTTCATAAATATTTATTGAAAATATATTTATTATACTTTGTTATTTATTTTACTATTGACTATTGCTTTTTATTTTGCAGGAGAAACTGGACTAAATGGCGAACCAGGTATTATCTTATTTATGTGTATGTGTAGGGTTGTAATTTTGAACTGGGGAAAATTTCCAGAAACTTAAAAAAATAAAAACATGAAAAAATGTTATTTTATAATTAATGGCTTTTTTTGGTATTTTGTTGAGTTTATTTATTATAATTTAAAGTAGCAACTACGATAATTTGTTTTCGAATTTTTCTAAAACTGTTTTATCCTGTTATTTGTTAAGCATATTGATGTTCACATTGTCATAGCAAGCTTTGTTGTTTGTTTAAGGCTTAACATAATTTGCAACCCCATCCCTAAAGGGGATGGGGCATTTGTCAATATCTATTAAATTAGCCTATTAATAATAAAATATAAGTTACTGAAAACTTTAAAATTATATATAAAAAAATTTGATTGCATTTTTACAGTATTTTACAATTTTTTCTTGATTTAAAGATGTTATTGATTAATGAAAGGCAAAGGGTAAAGAAATTTTTTTTGCTCAATTTGAAGTATTTAAAAATATAATTAGCAATAAAAATAAAAAACTAATAATTTCAAGGTCATAAACTCCACTGCTTGTTTAAATAAGTGCTATAAGACTTCAGTCTCACTCGCTCATGGCACTATTTAAAAATATAGTTAGCAATAAAAATAAAGAACTAATGATTTCAAGGTCATAAATTCCACTGCTATGTTTAAATAAGTGCTTTTACCTGACTTGAGTCTCTCTTTTACCCTGACTCGAGTCTCTCTTTTACCCTGACTTGAGTCTCTTTTTTACCCTGCTTGAGTCTCACTCACTAATGGTGGTTTTGACTTTATAAATCAATAAATTAAAAAATGAGAAAGGGATTAAATGTGAAAAAGTACCAATTGGTTTCTTAAAAATAATTTAAAAAAAGGTCCTTAAAAACTAAAATTCATCTGACTGAATTGTGTCAGATACCCAACTAGCCAACCAAATTTATCAAAAACTGACTGTAACTTGAAAACCATCTTTTTTGTTGAGGTAGAACACCCCTGACACTTCTTTTTATCGCATTTTTTGCTTGTGGGTCATTATTATTTTATATATTTTTTTGAAATATTTAAAGAATGCCCAAATACTATGATGATTAAATGCATATCTTTGAAACAATGAAATGAATTTAATAAAATAATTTTATAAAATTATATAATAACAATAAGTTTATTATAATGAAATTTTTTTAAAAATTTCTGAAAATCTTGAGCAAAATTTCCCTAAAAAATCCGGGAAATTTTGCAGAAATTTTCAACCTTATGTATGCCTGTATCATTTAAATTATTGTTTTGAGGCTTGCGTGGGTTAGATAATTATTATGATGATGTTTACTTAATATATATATATAGATCTTTAGTATCTTTCCGGTTGACACTGACTTATATATTTTGAACTTTATTATCTTTCTGAAGCTTTTTCATATCATGAAAAAGTATTTTATACAAATATTTTCAAATTGTTCTTAAAAATATTTTTTCGTATTAGTTTTTCCTTATTTAAAAACATTTAGGTTGATTTTATTAATAATTTTTAATTTGTTTATTTGATTTTCGTAGTTCACTTCAAATAATTTTTTCTTTTGAACAACTTGATATTTTAAATATAAAATTAGGAATATGACTATTTTTTTACCGTAAAGAATTCAGGCAAAAATATAATATTTTCAAATTGTTCAGTTGTTTTTCTCCTGTTATCTATTTATTAAATTTTATAGTTCTTATAATATAATAAAGCAAATTAAAATTTTTTTTCAGGTAAAACTGGATTACCCGGAACACCAGGTAATTGATAAAAGAAATTAATTTAAAATGTTAAAATATTTAACTTAATGAAATGTCAGTATTTTTCAATTTCCATTTTAAAAATCAGCAAAATTTAGTCATGGTAAAAGGTTATGTCATAGTAACCTATATTCAGATAGTAGGTAAAAACTGGGTTGGCCCAGAAGTTATTATATTTAAAAACAGGGGCTATTTAAGACTTTTTTCTACAGCGCTGATTTTGTTTGGGCACCACCCTATTTGACGCCAAAATTCAAAAATTTTTTTAATGCTGAATATTGTTTTTGTTTTATATTCCTAGAACAGCCCCTGAAAAGTTATTTTAGATGAACAGCTGTTTTTGTTTTAATGGAACGTGTTTTTGTTTTAACAAATCTAAATTTTTTTTTGCTTGCTAATATTAAAAACTTTGATGTGTCAATCTTGTGTGAAAATTGTGAAAATTTTAAGTTCTGACAGTTTTATTAAAGTATTAAGTATTTGAATTTTGTAAATAATAAAAATATTCACTGCTTTAATTGTTCCTGATTTTATTTTATCTCTAAAGGACACTTAATTGAAGGAGTTTCTTTTTTAACAAAAGTAATAGAGTATTTGCAACTCACCAATTAACTTTGGCAACTTTTTTCTAGTAAAGTTAAATAATAGCTATTATGTACATTATTTTGATATCTCAAATTTCAAAATTTAGTGAGCTACAGTTGATTTTATGTTTTGTGTCCACTTAACAAATTTTTCAATACCATCCTTGATTTAATGAATTATGTTAATTTTAGATATTATTGTATTTATATTGTTTTCAATTATCGTCTGAGTTTAGTATAATAAATGTTTTATATGATTGCAAAAAATTAAAATTAATTATATTTCAACATTTTTTATCATCATATATTTGCATAATTGGTTTTACAAATCAAAAATTTATAATTAATTTGTTTGTAGGGGCTCCTGGAAGAGATGGAAAAGATGGTGCCCAGGGTATGCTTATTGTGTTTTTGTTGTTATTAATAACTTCAGTTTATAAGTATGTATTTGTTTTTGAATAAGACCTAATGCTATGTTTAAGTGTCAATTCCAAAACACTTTTGAGTTTAAAAATACAAATTAATTTTATTTTTCAAAAAAAGATACTTAAATATATTAATTTTTGTACACATTTGTACACATTAGAACTTGTATTTTGTATTATTTATGGATACATTACATATAAAAAATACTTGCTACTTTTAAGTACCTATAAATACCAATATTTAAGTTTTAAATCTTTTAATGGTATTTTCATATAGATGGATTCAGCATAGATTGTATCATTTTTTTTTTTTCACATTAAGATTAAGCACAAGCTCTGTTTTTTAAAGTTTTTGTTGAAAAAAATAACAAAAAAAAAAAAAAAAAGAATAGTATAATAAAATTAATGACAAATTTTAAAGTTTGATTATGTTTGAAGTTCGACTATCATGTGTGGCTAATTTTTGAGGTTTGTCTACTTACATTTTGTTGATCAACTCTTAAAGTGCTCAGTAAAAAAAAAACAGATTACATTAAAAATTGCATTTAAATTTGGCAAACAGAAATAATACACCTGTTTGTTTTTTCACATTGAAATGAAAAGTATTACTAATTAATTCTATACAGTTTATATACACACATAGGTATACATTAATATAGTGATTGTTTAAAGCCACAAGTGTAGCCTAACAAGCTTTAAGGGTCAAAAAAAAAATTATTATTATTATTATTATAAAAATATATTTAAGAGAGTATACAAAGATTTATTATGTGCAATTCAAATTTGAGTTTAGGTAAACTGAATTTTTCATTTAATTGAGTTGATAGAAAAAGATTTATTTTACATATGATGCTTTGGCTAAAGTAGTCAGTTAGATAACTGTAATCTTTGATTTAAATCAATAAATGACACAGAAAATTATGCCACTGAATTATTTAACTGTTTTAAAGCACATGTTTGCAGCTAAAACTAAAGGTTGCCTTTAAATCAATATCAGACTATTACTTAGTTTTAATAAAGGATAATATTTAAATGCAATATGGTTTTTAGTTTATACAATTGGAAGTAATATTGTAGATAAATTTGACTAAAATTGACACTTAAACTTTTGTATGAGTAAGACAAATTGTTTATCATATGATTTTAAACATCAGGACCAGCTGGTAAAGATGGAGCTCAAGGACCTCACGGTAACAATTTTTATTCAGTTTTTTTTCCTTTATATTAATTAATTTAATATTAAATAAATAAATTTAATATTACATTTTTTATTTTTAACAAATAATTTCTTTTTTTACATTTGTTTAAATGAATAAAAATATGTTTAGTTTTTTTTTATTATTATTTCCTATAATTGCAACTATGGAAATGATAATAATTTTTTACTTTTAAAAAGTTAAACTTTTCCCTACTTGTTGCAATGAGAAAAACACTCAAGTTAATTACTTTTACCAGCGCATTTTTTTTTGTGACAAAGATTTAAGTTTCCAAGTACCATTGGTTTAAAAATATATACCGTTGCTTTACATATGCTTTATAAATATTTAACATGCTTTATAAATATTTTTGATGCAGTCTTATAAAATGTTTTCAAGCAAATTGAAAATTTTTTTAATCATAATTTTTTTCTAAAATACAAGGAAATATCTATTTTCATTTTTTTGATATCGCACAACTACTATTTTTCACAAAATAAAACTTATAAATATAAACAAAGACATAGCAAGAGCTATATTGCTTCACACGTAAATACTTGTAATAATTAAATAAAAAAACTTCTTGTATAAATATAACTCTGTTATTAATTTTCTATACAATATATTGTAGGAGTTAATATACCCTGTTTATTAAATATATTTATACTTGATAATGTCGTCAAGTATATTTGTTCTTAATAACAAGGGTCTAAACCCCCTCAAAATATTATTTTGAAAAATTAATAAATATATCTATAGAAAAAGTCTTTTTTTTTTATAATTATATTTAATTATATAATTTTATTTAGTTATAAAAAAAAGAAACTATTGATAATATGTCATTTAGAGTTGTAACATGTAATAATGTATTTTTATTTTTAGGAATTATTATCATTATAACAAAACAAACAAATAAAAATTAAAATATCAAAAATAGAACTTATAAAATAAGATTTAACGTGTTTATAGCTGAAATTTTTTTAAAAAATTCTGTAATTATTTTTGTTGAATATTTTTTGTTAAATTTTTTGTTAAATTTTTTTTTATGGTTTCTTTTTTTTATGCATCATATTACATCTTTTTTTTCTTTTGCTGAACATTTTTAATGGAAAAATCTTAATAAAATTTTTCTTTGTTTAACAATTTGACACCGATGTAAATGGCTGGCTATTTTACAAAAACGGTTTTGAGAAAAAGGGTTAAAAATTATTTTGAATTATTTTAAATGCATCTTATTTAACATCTGATAAAGCTGGTGGTACTTCTATACAGTATAACATCAAGCTTCTTAACCCATTCTGCAAGTCTCCAGTCATCCTATTTTTAGCTAAATAATAGCTAAATTGGCAATTGTAGTTATATCTCATAAAGCAATCATATATGTCACAGATGGCTCTTATGTGAGAGATAATTTTAAAGCTAATATTAATATTAAAAGAAAATTAACATTTTAACAAAATTTGTTAAAAAATTTATTGCAGGTGCATGTATTGGTTTAATGTTGAATTGATTTATTATTGATTTGGCCATTTTCCAAATTGCAAATGGGTTAATAATTTGTCTTTATTTTCAACTCTGGTTAATATGATATTCTTTAGGCCTTTTTATGTAAAATTATATTTAGTTACGAAAAACTGGCCAGGCTTTTTAGTCGTTTAAGATTTAAGTTTATGTACAAAACAAAAAATTTTTGTTTTACGAACATACATGGAAACATAAAAACTTGCATATTCTTAAAACGTCTTGGTGCGGAAGAATAAAAAGAATATCCGCCAAATTAACGAACAAACTAATTCCAGGGATGTGGAGTCAGAGTTGCGGAGTTTTCATTAAACAAAATTGCGACTCCGACTACAATAGTAAAACTTCTCGGTATTGCACGTGCATGTATAAAACATTCAATTAACCTTATATTTATACTAAACCTCAAAGAACGTTTCATAAATTTGTCAAAAATCGCATAATATTTTTTAAAAAATTCAAAAAAATTTTCAAAAATTTTGCTTTGGAGTCGGAGTCGTTACTTTTTTTTTACGACTCCACACCCCTGACTAATTCTATTAGTTAAAAAAATACGCTGACAAAGCAAAATAATGTTCTAGAGTATTCTGTTAAAATGTTTTAGAAATTTTATTATTCATGATTTGTTACGTTTTGAGATTTCTAGCATAAATTGTTTTAAGAATATCTAATATTTATCTACAAAAATAAATGTTTTAAATATATATTATATAAATTGTCAAAATTTTGAAAGTTATTATAAATTACAGATTTTATTCTTATTTTTTATTTAAAAAGTATGTATTCCTTATGTAAATGTAATTTTGTGTATCTGTTTTATGTCGTAATATATCTTTTAAAACAATTTTTAGACTCACAAAAATAATTTTTAGATTTTTAGACTCACAATAATTTAAAAAAAAAAAAATGAGTAGCCTTCTCGACTGTAGTGGCCCCCACGGACCTTGGTGAGGTGAATAATTAAAAAAAAAAAAAAAAAAAATTGCGTTTTCAATGAAGTTATAATCATTAAAGTTAATAAAATTAATTATGTATCAAACATATAAGAAGTTTCTGGTTACTAAGCATAAACAACGCATACAAAGTAACTCGCAGTTAAAGAAGCATTGTGTCTGAGGTCACGACAACACAAATATATATATATAGCAAATTATTAGATATAAAGAAAAGTTTCTAGATATTGGTTTACTAACTCTAATTATTTTCGCTTAAAACTCTTTTTTCTGGTTTAAATAATAATTAAAATTAAAAAGCCCACTTACTAAACATCATCAGCGATATTGTGAAGCAGTTTCGCTTTCTCGTCATAAACTATTTTCAACCTTTTTAGTTGATTTCTATCTAGTTAATTTTATTTCTATAGTAATTCAATAACTTAATTAATTCATTTGTTTATCTTACTAAGAAGAATTGTTTCAAATCTGTTAAACTGTTTTAACTACACGAAACATAATATAGGTATTAAAAAAATTAACTTTTTTATTTATAAAATAATTTAGCTTAAATAAAACTAAAACTTTTGTTTCCTTTTTAAACAATCTTAAGATGTTACTTGATAAAAGAACGTCGCTTAATTTTATAAAAAAAATTATAAAAGAGCGATGTTTTGAAAATATTTGTTCTAAACGTAATTTATTTTGCTTTAAGTTTTTTCGCGTTAAAAGATATTTTATTTTCACAATTTTTTTTTTTTTGTAATTGTCTCTCATCAGTCCAATTAATCTTTAGCGCATTTTTTTTTTTTTTTTTCGCTTTTTAAAATGTTCTCAAAACAACTAAAAAATCTGGCCAGCTTTTTGCAACTAATTATTATTTTCGTGGTCAGCAATCGAAAACGATCGCTCTCGCTTCCCGACCAAGCCTGATATATATATATATATCAGGCTTGGTCGGGAAGCGGAAGCGATCACTCTCGATTGCTGACCACGTAAATAATATTTAGTTGCGAAAAGCTGGCCAGATTTTTTAGCCGTTTTGAGAACATTTTAAAAAGGCAAAAAAAAAAGCAACAAAGATTCGTTAAACCGATGAGAGACAATTACAAAAAAAAAATAGGCAAATAAAATATCTTTAAACGCAAAAAAACTTAAAGCTAAATAAATTACATTTAGAACAAATATCGCTCTTTTACAATTTTTTTTATAAAATTAAGCGATGTTTTTTATATAAAGTAACAACTTATGATTCTTTAAATAGGAAACAAATATTCTTTATTTAACTAAGTTTGCAAGGTTTAGTTCTACTTAAGCTAAATTATTTTATAAATAAAAAAGTTAATTTTTTTAATACCTATTTTATGTTTCGCGTAGTTTGAAAAGTTTAACATATTTAAAGCAATTCTTCTTAGTAAGATAAACAAATGAAATAATTAAATCATTTAACTACTATAGGAATTAAATTATCAAGATAGAAATCAACTAAAAAGGTTAAAAGTGAATGACCAGGAATCGAAACTGCTTCACAATATCGCTGATGATGTTTAGTGAGTGGGCATTTTAATTTTAACTAGTATTTAAAGCAGAAAAAAGTATAACGAGTTTTAATAATGGCAACTTAAGCGAAAATAATTAGAGTTAGTAAACCAACATCTAGAAACTTTTCTTTATATCTAATTATTTGCTATATATATTTGTGTTCTGCCGTGACCTCAGGCGCGATGCTTGTTCATCCGCAAGTTACTTTGTATGCGTTGTTTGTGTTTAGTAACCAGAAACTTCTTATATGTTTTTTACATAATTAGTTTTACTTACTTTAACGATTATAACTTCATTGAAAACGCAATTATTTTTGTAAGTCTTTGTTTAAATCATGAAAATTGCTTTAAAAGATACATTACAATTAAAAACAAATACACAAAATTACATTTACATAAAGAATACAATCTCTTTTAAAATAAAAAATAAGAATATACTAATAAAATCTATGACTTATAACAAACTTTTAAAATTTTAACAATTTAATTAATATATATTTAAAACATTTATTTTCGTAAACAAATAATATATATTCTTAAAGCAATGCTAGAAATCTCAAAACGTAACAAATAGTGAATAATACAATTTCTATAACATTTTAACAGAATACTCTAGAACTTTATTTCGCTTAATCAGAGTATTTTTTGAACCAATAGAATTAGTTTTTTTCGTTAATTTGGCGGGTTTTTAGTGTTCGCAAATATTTTTTTTATTCTTTCGCACAAAGATGTTTTGAGAACATTCAAGTTTTTTATGTTTCCATGTATGTCCGTAAAACAAAAATTTTTTGTTTCGTACATAAACTTAAATGTTCTCAAAGCGACTAAAAAACCTGGCCAGTTTTACGCAACTAAATATAATTTCCGTGATCAGTATTCGAGAGCGATCGCTCCCGCTTCCCGACCAAGCCTGATATATATATATATATATATTTGTTAGGTTTTTTAATGCTATGCATTATTTTTATTGATTTGTTTTAAGTCTTTTTATATTCTTTTGTAAGTTCAAATTATAAAAAACACGTCTTTAAATCAAAGTTAAAATAAATTCAAAGAAATGCTCTTGAATTTTAAGAAATCTAGTTTTATCAAATTGATTGTTGAAAAAGTATAATAAATTTTGAAAAAACTGTCCATGCGATTAAAAAATATTGAGATAGTGAGGGTCTAGAGATCAAGAGGATGGTCATAACAAGTATGAATGCCTAGGTACCAGAAAAAAGTTTAAGATAAAATGTATTCTAGATATTATAAGTCAAGTGTACCTTGATTTGACCGTTAGTTTTAAACTTAGGTAGTTTTTAATTAGTTTTCAGTTGAATAACTGGCAGTATATTTAACTATGTAACTGGTTCTCAAGTCATTTCTTTTTTGAACCTATCTCTTATACCTTGTTCATGAATATTATATATTTCTAATAACTTTATATTGTTCATGAATATTAATTATATATTTCTAATAACTGTATATTTCTAATAACTGTATACTGGATAGTACAAAATTGAAATTTATGTTGAAGAGGCAATTCAACCAATTTCGAATTGCAATAGACCAAAGTCATAAAGCGATCTTAAAAATATATTATTTGAAGCAATTATGATTGCTAATTGTTATATTTCTGGGCGAAAGTTTAAATGAAAAAAAATTTAATCATGTTTTAAAATGATGTTGGTATAAAGTAACCTAGTCAGACATTGATAACTGATGAACTTGATCAATGGTTTTTTAAAAATTGTAATTAGAAATATTTTAATGTTATTGTTGATGAGAAATCAAACAATTGACCATGAAGATCTTCATCATAAACAATTCTCCCCTCATTAAAGAAAAAAATAATAATAGATCAAGAATATTTAAGACAATAATGTTTTATTAATGTTTTAAGAAGTAATAGTATCAGTATAGTTTAGTCTAGTAATAGTTAAATAAATAATAGTTTAGTATAAGTTTTTTAAAATAAAGAAAAATTTTTATTTTAAAAACATTTAAATTTTATTGATAATTTTTTTAAAAAAAATATTGAAGGTATTGAGACTAGAAATGATTTTTAAATTTAATTACAATGCAGTACTTTAACATGGTTTTAAGTTTAATTTAATTACAATGCAGTTCTTTAAACTTTAAACGTAATTTAACCTTTAACGATGTAAATATGAATATTGAGTAAAGTTACATTAACTTTTGTTACACTTTTTTGTTACACAGCAAAATCTCATAACAAGATCTGTATTAAAGATAGTAAGTTAATGACACTGAAAAAAAATATATATATATATTTTAATTAATTTAAATGATTAAAATAAATTCCATTAAGAGAACTTGATAGTTCTATTAATTAAAAAATATTTTTATTTTTTCATTTTAAAGGTGCTCCTGGAAAAGATGGAAAAGATGGTAGTCAGGGTATTTTTTAAATATAAGTTTGTGACGATGTTATATTTCAGAAGATAATAAAACATAATGCATATTCATTAGGGATTTGACTATTTTATAAGATTATCTCCATTTTATTTTTTTTGCAAAAATCAAGAAAATGCTAATTGCAAGTGACGACTTTTTTAAAATGTCACGCTTCAAGTCACTGGTGCTTGACATGGTGAGTGCCATTTATTACCAAAAATATTTTTTATAAAATTACATCACAAAATGTTCTTTAAGAAGGTTATATTAAAATAAGATTATTCATGAAATCTCTATAAATTTTCACTTTTTAAACCCAAGTTGATAAACATATGGAGAAAAGTATTTTAGGTGATTTATGGCACCCACCATATCCTCAGGTGTCATAGTGCATGACTTTTTTTGAAAATTGACACTTTTCTATGGTATTTTCTGTTAAAACATATTTATCCTTCTTATTTTAGTATTGGGAATAAAAATTATTGAAAAAATATTTTTAGTCATATACCTAATATACATATATTAAACTTTATTTGTATATATTTATATATATTATTATGCATTATGTATGCATGCTATAAACATATAAATGTATTCCAAGTTATTTTAATTTAGGACCAGTTGGAAAAGATGGACCACAGGGACCTCAAGGTGTGATATTTAGATTTTATATTATATTTACTTAATATATATTTCTTTTGTACTTTATACTTGTATTGCATTAAGAAATAGTAATTAGTTAACATGTTTGAAATTTAGGTCCTCCTGGAATAAGTGGAAAAGATGGAAGTCAAGGTAAAGTACTTATTTAAATTTATATACATAAAGCTAAAGCTTGATTTTAGATTATGACAGAAATAACTATCTACTCAAACCCTCAGTCTATCTAGTAAGGCGCGCAGTATAGTTCTAACAATATGGTTTGTGGTACACACATCACTTTTTACCTAATTCAGGCGCCTTTTTTAGTGTTACGCTATAAACATTTTATGTGGCTTTACAATTTAATGGGATTTAAAGAAAAAAGATATGTAAATATATATAAATATAGCATGTTTCACAGTGGAGACTCAAAAATTCAAAAGATTAATGTTTTGAAGTTATTTATTTCAAGTGTAAATTAAATAATTTTCTCTTAAAGTTAAAATTTTGTAGAGTTTTAGTTTTTCAAATATAGTTTTTTTAAATGAAGTTTACTTATTCAAGTTTTTTTAGCACGTTTTAAGTCATGGTTAAGTTGTCGAAAATAAATAAATGGTCACACACCATTCCTGATTTACTTCCAGTCTTGTGATTTTATAACTGCAAGATTTGAAGTGGTATTTTCAGTTCATAATTGCTATTATTTTAATCTCAAAATGAATTCTTTCCGATAAAGGTTGACTTCTTAAAAAAATCTTTGAATATAAGTTTTTCAAATAACAAGAATGTATTTTAAAAATATGTATACTAAAATTGTTTTTAATATTTTTATTGTTAATGATAGGCTACTTTAATTTGCCAGGGGCTTATCTGGACCGTTTTCAACACCGTGGACTGTATAGGTGCCGCCCAAATTAAAAATTGAGGACCTTTATTTATATTTATATTTTACTTTTTTTAATGGCAAATGTTGTTTTTTTTTGTTGTTGTTTTTTTTGTTGTTTTTTTTGCAAAAAAAGGCCTATATTTGGCAATATTTCTTCTAAATTTCTCCAGTGAGGGGGTACTGGTGCCTAAATTTTTTTCCTAGAATAGCCCCTGTTTGCATATATGACATGCATCTTTTTTTTGTTTCACTTATTTAATCTTAATTTCACTGTTGGTTAAATCCATTGTTGTTTATTTCATATTTGATTAAAGTTTTTATTTTAACTAGAACTTTTAACTAGAATTATTTAACTAAGAACATTTTTTCCTCCAACTGCTTTGATTTTATTTATTTTTTCCTCTAAATTTTAATTACTTTACTATTTTTTTGTTGCAGAGAAAAAGCGTTTCATAGATTTATTCCATATAAAATTTTTTAAGACTACATCATGATATGATGTAGTCTTAAAAATAAACTCAAGGAATATGAGAAGGCCAATTCTAAATAAAAATTGTATTGTTATTATTTTGTTATATCACAAATTTCATTAGTATTTTTTATCTTACTGTTAAAGTCACGCAACTACAGTTGAGTGACTCACATTTTTTTTATATGTACAGTTCAAATATTATTATTATAATTATTATCATAAGAGTTATCTATTATGTTGTTATCACAAACTAATTATAATATTTAACAAATAATTTTCTTCCGGGTAAACTTTGTTACTGTTTAAAAAAAAAGTAATAAAAACAATCATTCAAACTTTAAATAATTTTGTAAAAAAATTTTTGTTTAAACTTTGAATAAATAAGTAAAATCTTAAAGAATCTCAAAAAAAGCTTTATTATTCCTTTTTAATTTAATGGAAAACTTCGTGCATGAGAGTTATTTTAACGTTGGTCATAAATTTGAACTTTAGTAAAAAAGACCAAGATTTAATTTAAAGTTATTATAGAAGTAATGGTCAAGTGGTAACATTTTTATTTTTAACTTTAAGTAGTATAATATTTTTATTTATATATTTTGATATAAGTATTGAATTGACAACATTTAGTTAAAAAGTTCAATATGTTTTGCAATGGTCCACAGTGGTCAGAAATGCTTAAAAAATGCGAAGTAATTCAAAAATACTAATTTTTGAATTATTTTGCATAAAATTAAAAAACAAAGACCAGAAATTCAATTTTTATATTATTTTGTTTCACAAATTTGGCCAATTTTGAAAACAATCTGGCATTCTTTATTCTCTATGATTTTCAAGTTAATCCCTTTACACTAAGCTTCTTTTAAGAATAATTTTGCTGCAAATTATCTCCAAATTTGTAAAATTGGAATCAACATATTAAAAAATTTAGCCTTAAAAAGTAAAAAATATTTTGATATTTTTCAGTTTCTATAATTTCATTTCTACACTGGCTCATATAATGGGACAAATTATAATTATTCAGTGCACTAGAAAGAAATTATTCCAATTATACTTTCTTGAAGGTTCGAAAATTATTAAAACATAAAAATTGCATTTGTTTTTAAAAATTAGTATGTTTGAATTATTTCACATTTTCAAGCATTTCATTGCCCACTGTGTGGTCATTTGCAAAAAGTTACTAAAAATTAGTTAAAGTTAAAGAGTTAAAAATAAGAGAAACTTTAAACAAAGTTTTTAAAGCCATAAAAGTTTAAATAATTTATTTACAAACAATATTTAATTTTATTAATTTTTTTGACTAATAGGACCTCCTGGTAGAGATGGAAAAGATGGAAATCCAGGTTAGATGTATCTTTATATTTTAGATTTTAAAATTGCTATAAGTAAAATTTTTTTATGTGTTTTAACTATAATTGTTGTTTATTAAATAATTATATTTGTTTTTTTTCTTTTTTTTCCCCAAAGTTTTATAGAATAAGTGCATCAATGCATGACTACATATATACATTGACTGACATCTGCGTTATTCTCAAAGGACATACATTGACTAATTTATAGGGACTAGGAATAAGCGCAGAGTAGTGTACATGCATTGACTGAGGGGTTTTGGTTTTGGCAGGAACTCATTTAATGAATAATAAATTTTTTCTAATTTTATATATAGAGAGTGGTTTGTAAACTAATATATATTAATATAAAATTTTACTTATGATTATACAATATATCGAACTGACTGATTTAACCAGTTACACAACATTTTATTTCCATTTAAAATGAGTCTCAATACCCTTCTATATATAAATATGTTTTGAATTTTCAATGAATGGCTCTACAAATCTGCAATGTGTTTTTCACCTATCCTATGTCTACCTGACTGTTGGTCATTTGTATATGATCATTGTGTCACAGGACCAAAAATAAGATTATAAACATTTTACTTTTTGATTAAATATTATCAGTTCCTGACTGATTTTACTAGTTTCTAATATAGAGTATTAATATTAGTTCCTAATAAGATAATACCTAATAGAGTATAACATATAGTTAAATCTTTAAAATAAATCTTTGCCAAGAAGTTATATACATGTTTCTATAATAATTTTTTGACATTTTTTGTTTTAAATTTTTATTTAAATTTGAATTAATTTAAATAGGTTCAAATGGCAAAGATGGCGCACAAGGACCACAGGGTAAGATTTGCTGTTTTAAATAGCCCTGTTTTTTTTTTTTTAATTTTAAATTAATTAATTTTTAAATTAATAAAGATTAAAACTTGTATATATTTTAAAGGAAATATTTCCTGACTAAGGTTATTTTTGAGATATTTTTTTAATGTGCTTTAATGTGCAATAGTGTTATTACCTTTTTTGATCTTATAATTTTATTCAAGCATTAACCTAAAAATTTTTAATAACATTTTATCTCAACTCATTTTTTGTAATTACCAGTGTGTTTAAAGTTTAACTTAGTTTTCAACTAAGTATTTATAATTATTTATTATACAGGACTTGTAGGATTAAATGGTGCACCAGGTATATTATAGTTTGTACGCTTGTTTTAGGTTGTTAATACTAGTTTCTAGTTTTTTATGTAAAAGTAATTTTTTTTGTGTGTGTTCATATTTTTTTAATTTGTAATATGAAATCCAAATAAAAAAATATTAAAAATATTGAACCAAGTTTTGTATTATTGTTCAATTTAAAAACTTTTTTTTCGGAAACAAAGTATTAATAATTCATATTCAAGTCAAACTCCAAGTTTTTTTTGTCCTTAAGATTGCAATTGTATTTTTTAATAGTGAGGTTTTTTATAAATATGTTAATTTTAAGGTAAAGATGGTGCTCCTGGAATTCAAGGTAATGTGTTTTTATTTCACTTGAAATATTTAATGTAGTATCAGTGCAGTGTCATTGTTATGATATTAATACTATTGCAACATGTTTTGTAAATTTTCATCTCAAGTTTTTATTTTTAAACATATTACATAAAAATAAAAGCATAAACATATCAAAAAAATTTATCCATTACTTAAATTTTAACAATAATTTTTTTAATAAATTTTGATTTAATAATATTAAGTGAAAAGCAAACTTTGCTAATTCACAACTAATCTTAAACCAAGGCTTTCTTTTGCCTAAAACCTTTGCCTCAAATAAAATTGATTTTTTTTAACTACTGTAGTAACTTTGGGTCAGGTCAGGTTTATCCTGCTACTGGTAACATGTAACCCAGTACAATCTGCTTCATGTCCTACTGCCTTGTAGGATATGCCTTTTTAGGCAAAGACTAGGAGATGCAAACTCTGACATAAAATACCCCCTGTCTTGGGGCTCTTGGTTGAGTAAAGGCTAGAGATGGTGTCTCGATAATTATACTCATCTTGGGCAGATGTTAAATGCATCCGGTTGCTGTCTTGTAGAAGGCCTCCTAAGCAAAGACTTAAGGGGTAAACAGATTCTATCTGTTGACCAGCCTCGCACCCCTTCAACATCTATTAGGCTGGCACAGATGTATTTTTAACACATTGTTTCCAGTTTAGGATGTTGAACGCTGGATCTTCTTGACTCGATGCATGGGTTTTGCTTGTGTCTCTGTTTTTATGACTAGGCAACTCATTCTATTATCTCCAAATGAGGGTACAGCTCTAAAACTCAGTTTTATGGTTCTGAGGCCGGCTGGTAGTCAGGTTTCCCGAACTCTGTGGTAGCTCTCAGAGAGGCTGATTCCATCAACAGCTGAAAAATATCAGAGTACTAACAGTGCCATGTTGCGCATGGATGGTGTCCCTGTTTGTGCTTTTGGTGTGCATTGCCAAGGCCACATTAGAGCCCTTTGTTACGGCTTAGGGTTTATTAGTGGAAATGAGGCAATTGCTTGGGCTATAAAACAGTGTACTGAGTACTATCTATGTTTTACCAGACCTACTTGCTCTTTGTGAGACTTATTTGAGTTCAGCTCATGAACTCTTGAGTTCTGTCTCATCTTGTGATCTTAGTGTTGATGTTTATCTTCCTTTAATTCAAAAAGACTCCAATAGTCACAAGCTTGGCCTAGGCATTTACATTCGTAAGAATTTACCCATTTGTCAAGAAACTAGGTTTGAATCCACAGACTACTCTTTTATGTGCTTTCGTTTAGCACCACTTCACTCTATCACCTTTCTCTTTGTTCTATATTGCTCTCCTTCATCTCAAGACTGCACTCTTCTTGATGTTATTTCTGATTATATTGACCAAGCCCTCATTCTTTATCCATCAGCCAATATTGTTGTTGTTGGTGACTTTAATGTTCATCACACTGAATGGCTTGGCTCTAGTGTCAGTGACTCCGCAGGCATTAAGGCCCACAACTTTTGCCTTTCTCAATCCCTAACTCAAATAGTCAACTTTCCAACTCGCTTTCCAGATAACCCGAATCATTTACCTTCTCTACTCGACTTATGTCTTGTTTCTGATCCTATTCAGTGCTCAGTTTCTTGACACTCACCCTTAGGTGCTTCTGATCATGGTTTGGTCTCATTCTTTACCATTAGAATCCCCCTATCATCGTACATCTTACAACTACCTTAAAGCTGACTGGGACTCTTTCCGCAATTTTCTTTGTGATGGCCCCTGGGTAGAAATCTTTCGTCTCCCTGTTGACAAATGTGCTTCTTATATAACTTCGTGGATTTAGGCTGGCATGGAATCCTTTATTCCCTCTCGACAACTCATGGTCAAGCCTCACTCTTCTCCATGGTTTTCCTCACATTGTGCTGCTGCAATTGCCAATCGAAACCATTACTTCCATATCTATCAGCAAAACAGTTCTCCAGAAAACAGACGTCTGTTTATTACTGCTAGGAACCATTGTAAAAAGGTTTTGTTTAACGCCAAAGCCCGCTATTCTCAGATCATGAAATCTCGTATTTCATCACAAAAATTAGGTGTGACTTCTGGAGAATCTTTAATAGTATCAATAATAAGGGCAAGTCTGTAATTCCACCTCTTTTGTATAGTTCAGACTTTGTCACCTCACCTAAAGACAAAACTGAATTGTTTGCCAAGAACTTTTCATCAATATCATCTCTGGATTCCACTAGTTGCGTTCTACCTGATATAGCCGTCAAACAGGTTGATCCACTGCTTGACATTCGTATCACTCCAGCTTCTGTATCTAAAGTGATTTCCTGCTTAGACTCTTCTACAGCTTGTGGCCCGGACAACATACCTGTTATAGTCTTGCAGAAGTGTTCTCCGGAGCTGTCGTCTATCCTTTCAAAACTATTTAATAAGTGCTTATCAAAGTCTTGTTTTCCAGCCTGTTGGAAGGCAGCATCTGTTATCCTTATTTTTGAAAATTCTGGAGAGCGATCCGATTCGTCTAACTACCATCCCAGTCTTCTTCCTATCATAAACAAGGTTTTTGAATCTTTAATTAACAAACACTTAATCTCTCATCTTGAATCTCATAACCTACTTTTTGATCATCGTTATGGATTTCGATCTTCTCGTTTTACGGCTGATTTGCTAACAGTAATAGCCAATAGGTTTTATCGCGCATTAGATAAAGGTGGAGAGGTTAAGGCCATCGCTCTTGACATTTCTAAAGCGTTTGATAAAGTTTGGCATGCAGGTCTTCTCCATAAGCTTTCTTTTTACGGTGTATCTGGAAATATCTTCAAGATTATTGAATCCTTCCTTTCCAATCGTAGTATAAAAGTTGTCCTTGATGGACAGCACTCTTCTTCTTATTCTGTAAGCTCAGGGGTTCCTCAAGGTTCAATCCTTGGTCCTATACTCTTTTTAATTTACATTAACAATCTATCAGATATTCTCACATCTAAGGTGGCATTGTTTGCTGATGATACTACCATTTATTCTTGTCACGATAAGAAGCCAACTCCCTCTGATTGTTTGCAAGGGGCATCTGAGCTTGAAAAGGATCTCACCTCTGCTACAGCATGGGGCTCACAGTGGTTGGTGAACTTAAATTCAGATAAAACTCAATTTTTTTCAGCAATCGTTATCGCAATAATTTAGACCTTCCTATATTTATGAGCGGTAATGTATTGGATGAGTCTCCTACCCTTCATCTTCTAGGATTAACTCTTCTAATCTTTCTTGGAAACCTTATATCAAATCCGTTGCAAAACTAGCATCTGCTAAAGTTGCTTCTCTTTATCGAGCTTGTCACTTTCTTACTCTGGATTCTATTCTGTATCTCTATAAATCTCAAATCCGGCCTTGTATGGAATACTGTTGCCATATCTGGAGCGGATCTTCTAATGATGCCCTTTCTCTTTTAGACAAGGTGCAAAAACGCATTGTAAACATAGTTGGACCTGCTCTTGCAGCCAACCTTCAATCTCTGTCACATCGTCGTAATGTTGCTTCTCTTTCTCTTTTCTACTAATACTATAATGGGCACTGCTCTAAAGAACTATCGTCTCTTGTGCCATCTACTAAAATTCATTCTCGTGTTACTCGTCATTCAATTAAGTCTCTTTCTTTTTCTGTTACTGTTCCTAAGTGCTCCAAAAACTCTTATTCGTCTAGTTTTTAAACATCAGTTCTTTGGAATTCGCTTCCTTTATCTTGCTTTCCTGATTCATATAATTTGCAATCTTTCAAGTCATCTGTCAATCGTTATCTTGCTCTACAATCTTTATCTTTTCTCTTCCAATAACTTCCAACACTATTTAGTGGTTGCTTGCAGCAAAGATGTTAAAGAAAAGAAAGAACTTATACAAGAATGTTTTTAAATATTTCATACTAGTTTTGCTGGTAGCCAAAATAAATAAAATTAAAATATAAAATACAATAAGTAAGTAAAGCTGAAACAATCAAAACTTGACTTTTAAATTATTGCACTATGTTTTATAACCATTTTAATTTAATTGATTCATAAGCTTCAACATTTGTGACTTGCAAAAAGGTGGCGGTAGTTATTCTCACTGTTTCTCATGGTGTTAACTAATTTTTCTTCCAACCATCACCCCCACAACCTCTGGGCTTTCTTAGAACTCCTCCTCTTGTTCATTAATTTTGAATAAAATAGTTTATATTTATACTTATATACTACTTATTTATAATTTAGTCTTTCAAGTTTATTGTTTTTGTTTTGTTTTGTGTAACTTTCTCACAAGCAAACTTTTAATAATTTGCTTCTTATAAACAAAGTACACAGCTTTGCATGAACTAAAACTTTAAAGACCTAATATTTTACTAGAGTTTGCAAATCGCGATCGTATAACTCTTGATATAAACTTGTTACATTATAATTATACAAATATATTTTACAAACAGATGGCCATACATATTTTCTCTTTCCTCTATTAAAGAAAAACACATAAAATATGGGAAAGTCATCCTTTTTAACGCCTAAAACCGTTTTTTTTTTTTTTTTTTTTTTTTTTTTTTTTTTTTTTTTTTTTTGCTTTGATTTAATGAATTTTGTTGCAGATAATAATAACCACTATAAAAAAAAACACAAATTATTTAAACTATTATTATTGTTTTCTATTTAAGTTTACTTTAATTTCTTATGTAGTTATTAAATTTAAAACAATTTTTCAGTAACACATATAATATAAATAATGTAAAAAATGGATAGTATGATTTTTAATATATATCGATATCTCAATTGCAATCGCTATGTTGCAATTATCCCAATTCTAATATTTAGATTGATTTTAAATTTAAATGTTATTTATGTTATCAATTACGTTCTATTTTTTTTTTTTTAAATAAACAGGAGTGAAAGGAGAAACCGGACCACAAGGACCTGCTGGACCACAAGGACCTGCTGGACCACAAGGACCTGCTGGACCACAAGGACCTGCTGGGCCACAAGGACTTCAAGGACCACCTGGCATTCCTGGACCTTCTGGGCCTCCTGGTGTGTCTGGTCCTGGTAATATTTTATATTATTCAATTTAAGTTTAACTTTATTTGGCGTTTTCCCATATATTTGAGCTTTATTTTTTTATATTAGTTTTTGATAGATTTGTTTTATATAGTATATAATTTAAGCTGACATCAATTGGCAATTAGTTTATCACTTGTTTTATTTTTTAATTTTGATGCAAAAGCAAACAAAAACAATTCATCATTTATTAAAAGAAACTTTCTAGTTATAGTTTTTGCAGGTTTTTTAAAAGGGAAAAACAAAACCTGTGTCAGAAACCTTTTCAATTAGTAACATTTTGTAATTGTAAAATTTTTAAAAATATTACAAAATGTTCTTTTAAATTTTCAAAAGTTTATTCTACAAAACAAGTTTTGTAAAATTGCATGTTCATTTGTTAATATATTTTTTTCATAATAAAAATAATTTGATTTAGTTTTATTAAATATGAATACCGGTTTTACAATAGCATACACTATTGCATACTCTATTACTACAATTAGATATGCATGACTATTTTTAAGTATTCTCCCAAATTAAAACTTCTGAAAACGCAGTGCAGTCTTACACCCCAGTAGGTAAAAGGAAATATATATTTAAAATTTTGTTAAAACAATTGTTGTTTGGTAAATTCTCTTTTAAAAGATAAAACAATATAATTCATCGCTGGCTCTTTTTCTTTGCTTTGAAAAATGTATAAAGATGTAATGTAATAGTTGTTTTAGTTGAGAAATCTTTCAATGTGTTAAACCTTTTTCAGTGTTAAAAATGTGGTAGTGGTGTAGTGGTAGAGTGCTCATTTCTGAAACAAAAAATTCCAAGTTCGATTTTCACCACGTCTCTGATAGTACCACACAAAACTCTATGCAGAAGCCTTGTTCATCCAGATTGATTGGATAGGTTGTTTGTTTTGTTTTGAAGTTAAGGAGTTAGGAGAGGGTCTTAACTACAATAAAGAAGTCTCCTCAACTGTAGTGACTTCCGCGGCCTTAGAAAGGTGAATAAAATTAAAGGAAAAACTAACTTTTTAATCTTTAACTGTATTTTAATCATATTAACTAACTAATAATTTCTTGTTAGTTAGTTTTTGGCATCAATAGTTTTTATTATTTTATAGTTAAGTTTATTTATATCATGTTTTACATGTGAACACTGGGGTTAAAAATTTCTAGACAGAAAAAAGGTATCAGAAATAGATTATTTAATGCCTATTTTAGTAAGAAAAAGCCAATAAAATAAGAAAATTTCTTAGTTTTAAAAAAAATCATCCAAAAACTGATATACGTTATCATTATTTTGCATTATACATCTTTACTGTTTTACTGTTAGTTACTAAATACATTTTAACTTATTAGAACTTCTTCAAGGTTCTATCCTTGACCCTATACTCTTTTTAATTTACATTAATGATCTTCCAGATATTCTCACATCTAAGGTGGCATTGTTCGCTGATGATACTACCATTTATTCTTTCTTAAATAAGAAGCTAACACTCTCTGATTGCTTGGAGCGAGCATTTGAGCTTGAAAAGGTTCTCACTTCTGCTACAGTATGAGGCTCTCAGTGGCTGGTGAACTTTAACTTAGATAAAACTCAATTTTTTCAGCCAATCGTTACCGCAATAATCTAGATCTTCCTATATTTGTGAGTGCTAATGTACTCGATGAGTCATTTACCCTTCCTCTTCTAGGATTAACTCTTACTTCCGATCTTTCTTGGAAACCATATATCAACTTGATTGCAAATTTAGCATCTGCTAAGGTTGCATCTCTTTATTGTGCTCGCCACTTTTTTACTCTGGATTCTATTCTTTATCTCTATAAGTTTTAATTTTGCCCTTGTATGGAATACTGTTGTCATTTCTGGGGCAGATCTTCTAATGATTCTCTTTCTCTATTAGACAGGGTGCAGAAAGGCATGGTGAACATAGTTGGACCCGCTCTTGCAGCCAACTTTCAACCATTATCATATCATCGTAATGCTGCTTCTCTTTTTCTTTTCTATAAATACTATAATGAACACTGCTCTAAAGAGCTAGTGTCTCTTGTCCCATCTACTAAAATTCATTCTCATGTTACTCATTATTTAATTAAGTCTTATCCTTTTACTGTGACTGTTCCTATGTGCTTCAAAAATTCTTATTCATCTAGTTTTTTTCCCAGACTATCAGTCCTTTAGAGTCTGCTTCCTTCATCTTGTTTTCTTAATTTATATAATTTGCTATCTTTCAAGTCGTCTGTTAATCATTATTTTGCTCTATAAATATCTTGCAGTAACTTTTAACTCTAGTAGTGGTTGTTGCAGCCTTGATGAAAGTGGAGATGTTAAAGAAAAAAATACTTTAAAAAAATTTTTAAAATGGTTTGCTTAAAGATTAATTCTAGGAATTAAAAAATATATATAAAGTTTAATGCACTTTTTGGTATTATCCACTGATAGTTAAAAACCACATACAAGTGAAAGGGTAGTATTTAACAGGTAGTGTTGCAAGTTGCCTCAACCTCAAAAGCAAAATCAAAATATAAGATTTATCTACATTTTTCAACGTTAATTTGGGAGTATAAATGTTTTAATTCAAGTTTACTAAGGAATATATAGTGTAATTGTGATTACATAAGTTACTATAATGATGCAAATAATATATTTTTGTTTTATTTAAATAAATATTATAAAATATATTTAAAGAAAATTTTTCTGCAAGAAATCAGTTTTGAATCCTTTGATCACACTCTGTCAGCTTTCTTTGTTCTTTATCCTTCTCCTAAAGACTACTGGTGCTAAAACTCATAAATTTTGTTATTTCTTATTTTCTTATTCAGATAGTGTTCTTTGTAACTTGTTTTCTAGACAACCTTGACTTCTTAATTTGTGTCTTGACCTTAGCTTGTGTTCAGCTTCTTCTTGTTCTCAGTTAAGTCATAGCAAGTTATTAAATTTCTAGTTTTTTTAAAGTTTTATAACTTTTTATAGTTTTACCACTTTTGTAGCTTTAGCTTTAGTTGAGTAACATGTAAGTTAAGTAACAAGTAATTTTTAATTAAAATTAATTAATTTTTATTGAAAATATATTAATTTTTATTTAAAATATATTAAATAATTTTAGAAATTATAAAAAAAAATGAATTTAATTTAAAATTACTTGTTACTCAACTTATGTGTTACTCAACTTGCTACAAAAGTTATAAAACTATAAAAAAAACTAGCAATTTAATAACTTGCTGTAACAAATTTTTTTTTCTATGATGTAAATGTGATTTAAAGTTCTGTAAATAAAAAAGTTCATTTAACTTATTGTCTTGGTGTAGTAGACAATTTTTTTAATAAAATACTAAAACAAGAAACAAATAATTTAACTGTAATACCTGAACATTTATTTTTTTACTACTAGTTTATAACACTTTTAATATACTTTAAAACACAATAAAGTTAATCACAATTATTAATGCACAATATCCTATAAATCTGCAAAAAGTTAATATTTAAAATGTACTGAAATTACAAAGATTTACTATCTAAATTAGAATAATTTTGTTAGTACCTTAATAATATAATTTGAATGTCAAAATTTTGCATATTCTGTAAAACTATTTTTTTACAACAACTGAAAACATTTTAAAAACTGATAGATTACCCATAACAATTTTTATTCTGTCAATTTTTTTTTAGTAACAAATCACTCTGTTAATTTAACAGAGATAAACAATCTGTTATTTTTTTAACGAAATGTTTTAGAATGTACATATATATACATTTTTTTTTTTCTTTTTAGAAAAATAAAATCAACTAAGAAGAGTTTACGAATGGAAATTATTTTTTTATTTTCAGTGTTTTCATTTTTGGCTTGTGCTAAATTGTGCTAAAGCATATTTAAATGTTTTTATTTATCGCTTTCTTTTTCTCAACTAATTTTTCTATTATAATAGAATTTTTTTTTTTCAATACTAATTTTTCTATTTTAAAAGAATCTTTTTCTTTGATCCTAAACAAGTTTCTTTTCATGTTTTTTTTGCATAAATTTGTTTTTACTAGTGTTACCGTTTACTATATATTGCTAATATACTATTGTTAGAGTTGGCATAAAATTGTATTTGTATTGTTTTTAAACTTTATAGTGTATATTTATAGAATTTCTAATAACATATATCTAAATAGTAACTACAAAAAATTGTTTGGTTAGCCAAGAGCATTATATAGCAATTAGTTTTTCAAAGTTTTTTTAAATTTCGGTAAATTAGTAGTTAAAAAAAAAAGATATTAGATTTTAAAAATTTTGAAAATTTTTTGAGACAAATTTATTTGTTATATTTTTTGTTCATCTAGTAAATTATTTAATTGAAATAAACTTTTGAAATAAATAAAGAATATTTCTTCTCTGATTGTTTTACTTTTTTATTATATTTTTTTATGTTTGATTTACATTAACTATAAATGTTATTGCTATAAGTATGGCAATCATTTTATTGTCAGTCATTGTATCTGTTTTTAAACACACACATGCAGGCACACACACACATTTTTTGACAGCGTGGACCGTATTCGGGTGCTGCCCAAATTATAATTTAAGGGCTTTTTTTTTTTTTAAACGTTTTTAATGGCAAATATTGTTTTTTTCGCAATAAAACGCTGGTATTTAGCAATATTTCCACTAAATTTACTCTGGGACAGAATTACTGCTGTTTAAATTTTTTTCCTATAATAACCCCTGATATGCACATAGGGTTGAAATAAGTGCCAGTCATCAGCGCCGCCAGATCATTTTTGAGACCTGTCTGGTTACTTTGGTATAGAATTTTAAATATGTAGCAAAATGCTATTGTTATTTTAATTACTTTAATACCTTGACATTTTTTTAGTATAAAAATAAAAAGGTTTTTTACAAACAGCAGTTTTTATATAAAAATAGGTTAGAGATAATTATTAAAATCATTTTTTTAATGTTTTTACATATATATACAGTTAACAAATTTATTAAAACTATGGAACTATAGTGTGGATTAGTGTAATTTGGTTTGTATAATCAAAAGTTGTTTGTGAGAATGAAAATCCATCAATTTGAATAAAGAATGGTTTTGTCTATTGGGTGAATCAAAATATGGAATTTGCAATTAAAAAATAGTATAAAACAACAGGTGGTTTGGCTCAAGTTTAAATTAAAATATACTTAAGTTACAGATATTTTAACTGTTTAGGGGCAACCAACTATTTTTTCTGACAAAATAAAACAATAGTTGTTTGCCCTCCTCTCTCGTGGATCTTAAGAAATGTTCAATAAGCATTCCAATAAAATGTCAAACACCTATTTCGATGTATATATATATATATATATATATATATATATATATATATATATATATATATATATATATATATATATATATATATATATATATTAGGGTAGTTCAGATTAAGGTAAAAAAAGTTTAAAAATAGAGTGGAAGCTTATAAGGTGTGCAGACCCTTGTTTTATATGTAAGATTTTTTTTTTTTAGTTAAAAAAGTTTAAGGGGGACACACAGCCCTAAAGTACCTTTTTTTTTTAAAACCCTTTTTTGACATTTTTTGACCCCTTTGTGCCACCTTAAACATTAAATTAATTTTTTTTCTTTGTCACAATTACTAATATTAAAAAAATTAAGGCACTCTTTCTGTATTTTTTTTTTTTTCTCAACACTGAAAAAGTTGTAGGAAAAGTATTAAAGTAGATAAAAAAAAATTATTTCCCTTTTTCTATGGTCTTTTTTAATACAAAATCCACAAATAAGCTATTAAAATCTGCTATTTTATTTTGAATATTAAATTAGTGAAATATCTGAAGTAAGGTGGATTAGATCTCCCCAATTTATATACTTTCATTTCAAGTTGCAGAAGGACAAGTGAGATAATAAGATTGCAACATTAAACTTTTTTTAAATTATTAACAAATTGTTTAAAAATACTATTAGTTGTGTTTGATGCTGTATCTGTTCTTTTTTTCTATTGCCTACTTCTTTTGTATAAATGGTTAAACAAGAACAAATCTTTTATTTTCTTCTCTTTGGTTGTATTTCTATTCAATTCTTTAATAAGTTTAATGGGCCGCTCTGATGAGTCATAGACCACATTAAGAAATTTAATAATAATTTCAAACTTAGGTATAATCAAAATACCTTTTTAGATTCTATTAAAAAGGTCTCTTTATCCTTGATTACTCCTGGTGTCAATCTATTTTTAAGGATTGCAGTTTTTTATATTTCATTATTACAGCCATTATTTTTCTTACAGCCAACTTCTTTTCTTTAATTATTGATTATATAACTATATAATTTATTTACATTAAGGTTTAATAAATAACATTAACTGTAAAATGCATTGTATGCTATGAGTTCTGTATCCTCCAAGTTCCCAGGGAACCTTCAGCTTAGATATAATGCAGCAGCTCTCTTCTGCTTCTGGTCAATTTGGTGTAAATGTAGAAACTATGTTTGAACAACAAACTAAGTTTTTGAAAGAAAGGGATGGTGTGGACTCTCGTAGATAAAGATAATATTGGATAATTTCTTTAAAAGTTAAAAACTGAATAGATGATAGTGTCTTCTGTTGTGTTTTTTTTTTTTAATTAAGAATATTTCTTGGCCTTTCTTATTTTATCACATTTTTTATTTTATTATTTTTTTGCATAACTTTTTATTTTACTTTTTATTTCATTTAAATGAACTATAATAATAGAAATTTAAATATATTTTTTTTAATTCTAAAAACAAAGTTCATTGAGTATCATGCAAGAACCATTTTGCCCACATTTAAGCTTTGTTTAATATTATTAAAACAGCAGATGTTAAAAATTGAGCATGTTTAATACATTAGCACGCCTCTGTAATGGAAATAAATTAGCGTACAGAAAAAATGAAAAACTTAAGTCTTTTAACGCTTTTTTAAATAAATTTAAAAAGGTATATAAAAAAGGAATATCTAATTTTTTTTTTTATATATATATCATTCATTGTAAGAGTAAAATTCAATTCAATATTGTTTAAGAGTGGCACACATGGATCAAAAAATGTCAAAAAAGGGTTTAAAAAAAAACTGAAGGTCTGTGTGCCACCCAAATTTAAAAAAAAAAAATCATACATATGAAAAAAAATCATACATATGAATATGTATATATATAAACACTAAATACGCGTTTAGATAAGTCCTGTGACATTCCACTGATATTGCCAGCTGTTGCAAAAGAGTGCTGCTACATCAACTGAGGGTTGGCATTGGGCAGTAATTTTTTCTTTTGTTATTGTTTATTTTTTCTGAAAAAATTGTGTGCTATATGCTTATCCATACACACATTTTTATATATATTTAAATATAAATATATATATTTAAATATTAATAAATATATATATATATATTTATATATATATATATTTATATATATATATATATATATATATATTTTAGGACGGTCATTAAAATAACTTTTTTTGAAAATGTTTGCTCTCACCCTCTAAATGTGTTCTTCATAATGAAAGAATACTAGAATTAAAAAAATTTAAAAAAAAAAAATTTTTGAGGGGTAGTTCAAGTATATCATGTTGGGTCTCAAAAGAAGCAGTTATAAAAATTTTAAAAATAATCATCATTTTATAAAAATATACTGGATATAAATATAATTTAATTTTATATAATTTTGCTTCTTTTGTGACCCAACTGGATATACTTTTAAAGAACTATTCTTTTGATATTTATAGGGACCTGCAAGGGTGTGGAGTTGTAAAAAAAAAGTAACGACTTCGACTCCAGTTGTTGAAATTTTTTTAGTACAACTCCGACTCTAACTCCAAAGCTCCAAATTTGTAAAATTCTTTGAATTCTTTAAAAAATATTATGAGATGAGAATGAATTATGAAATGAGAAAATTTATTATTGGAGTTGGAGTCACGATTTTGTTTAGCGACCCGACACCGCTAAAAATGTTGCAACTCTATTTTTTTTTCAAAAATTTTTTAATTCTAGTATTATTTTTTTATATAGAACACGTTTAAAGGGTGAAAAAAAAGTTTTTTTAATGGCCACTTAAATATATATATATATATATATATATATATATATATATAAATATATATATATGCATACATACATACATACATACATACATACATACATACATACATACATACATGGGTGGTTGTTTATGACTTTTATTATTATTTAAAAAACCCAGCTCTCTTTTATTATTTAAAAAAAAAATTTATAGTATGTCATGCTGGATCTCAAAAGAACAATTCATAAAAACATGAATAAAAATATTTGAAAGAAGTTAAAAAATCAGTTTTAATGCAATGAAATTTAAAATAAAAATCTATATATGAAACATATATTATTTATAAATTTTGATCTGTTTTAAGACACGAATTGATATACTTTTAAAGAAAATCTTTTATTAATATTAGAGACCTATCTGATGTTTAAGGATCTTTAACGACCCCTAAAAATATTTTTTATTTAAAAATTTTTTAAATTTAATGTTGTTTTATTATATAATACACTTTAAAGGAGTACCACCAGTTATTTTTTTAAAATGCTGTTTTTTAACCACCTATTTATAATAATATATATACACACACGCATGCACGCGAAGGACGCAAGATGAAAACCAGTGGTGTCACGAATTTTTGACGTTAAAAGTATTTGTATCACTAAACTTTCAAAACAATATTATACTACTTAAATTTAAATAGTGTAAATTATGCTTATTAAAATTCAAATAAAAACTAAATAATATAATGCAATTAAAAAGTATTGTAGTTAAATTTAATTACAATATTGAATATGAATAGAATAATATGCTCGATGTAAATAATTAGTAGTAACTATTATTACATATAGTATAGTATTATAATATACTATTACTATAGTACTATAATACTGATATTTTTTTGTGTTTGTGTATATATATATATATATATATATATATATATATATATATATATATATATATATATATTGATTTTGATTATTTATGCTGTAGATTAGTATGGAAAAAAACTCTGATGATTGGACAGAATCTTCAGATTCCAACTGTTCAATAACTGATAAAGTGTTAGAGATTTTAGATGAAGAAGAAAAACGAATTAAAATAAAGAAAAGAAGGTTAGTTATCTGTTTAATCAAATTTTTCTTCAAATTATTAAAATATTTTTTTATTAAAGTAATAAATTATATTGCAAAAATATTCTTTGTAGGATCAGAAATCTAAACAGTGTAAGATTGTATGTGATATATTGTATGAATATATGTTTTGCTTGTAATAAAAGAAAAAAAACATTTTTCCCTCAGCAGATATGTAATGTAAAACTAAAATACATACTTGTGTTTTTTAGTGTGTTTGTCCAGATTAATAAAATACTATTCATTGTTGAAATTATTTTGAGGATATCGTGACAAATAAATTGATCTAGGTTGAATACAATTTTTTGGGATAATTGCCAAAATGCATATTTCATTACTGTTTTGCACTTAAATCAGTGTTTGCAAATTCCTTTAGAGCAGTTTTAGCTGATACAGATTTGCATAGCAAAAACAGTCAACTGTTTGCAAATACTTTGCACTTGCTTAAGTTAATAATTGTATTTGTGTTTTTAATTTGTTTTGATGCACATTAGCACTTTTTAATTTTTGAATATGATTTCTCATTAAAAAAACATCTAAATTATTTTAACAACTAAATTAACTAAAGTTATAAAAAATAAAAAATTTCTTGTTTACTTTAAACAAGAAATAGCTCAAAAGTTTTTCTTTTTATTTCACTCCATGATTATTTAGATCGGAATCCAGTGAAATTGAATCTAATGAAAGATCTGAGCAGAGAAAAAAATCATCTTCTGTTGTTAAAAGTCGATCAAATAGTAGATCCCGAAAAAATGAGCAAAACTCTAAAAATTTAGAAAGAATCAGATCCAGGTCTAGATCAAGGTATAATAGAAGTCGTTCAAGTTCTAAAAGTCGCTCGCGTAGTTATTCAAATGAAAGATATCGAGTCTCAAGATCTAGAAATTATTCTAGAGGTAGAAAAAGAAGTAGAAGTCGATCTAGACATCGCAGAAAGTCAAGAAGTTATTCCAGACATCGCAAGCGATCTCGATCTTATTCTACTGATGGAAAATATAAAAATAAACGTAATAAAAGTCGTTCTCGTAGCCGTAGTCACTCAAGAAATTATTATAGGAAAAGAAGAAGCCGATCTCGTACCAGATCTAAAAGTAGATCATATGAAAAAATGAAAGAAAAGTCAAGTTTTGATAAATCTTCTGGAGTTGCCTTAGTTGATATTAATATAAATAAATCTATAGAAACAAGTAGTCCTTCAAAAATAGTAGAAAAAACAACAGAATCAACTCTAGTAAATGACAATGAGTTATTAAGCAGATCAGAAGGTTCTGTAGCTAAGAAAAGTATTGAAATAAAACTTCAAAGTCGTGTTCTTGGTGAGAAAAGTGTAAAATCTGCTGATCCTAAATCTTCTCTGTATGGAAAATGGGAAAAGTATGAACAACCTGTTAAAAATCCCGAAATTAACAAACTTACTAATCTTTGTCGTGAAATATCTGCAAAAGAAGGCTATGAAGATTCTGAAGACAAAATAGAAAATAATAGTGTTAGTCATCCTTTTCAAGTTGCACCACCATCAGTTTATCCTATGTTTTATAAAGGCAAACCTACGGTAATGCTTGTTTAATTTTTTACTAGTTAACAACATTTTTTACTTATCTTTCATTAATTACTTTATATTTTTGATAATTTTATCTACAGTGTGGCTGAAGGTTTACTGTGAAATATTATGGCATAGTTTCATTTGATATAACATGCCATTATATTTTTTTTAAACCTTTTTTAAAGGGATGCAAAAGTTCTGTTTTCTGTGTGAAAAAAGAACTTTCATGGTTATCCCTGGAAATTCTTTCTTTGTTTTATAGGTTATGACTTGGCCATCATTCTTGCTGCGTGTTTATCCAGCTATCAAAAGACTCATGATTGTATCTTAAAAGTGGGTTGTATCAAATGTATTTGTCTTTATCCCTTTTAGAGCAAACATGAGTGTTTTGATAGCTAGATTTCAAATTTATTTTAGTATAGATATTTATAAACAGAAGCATCAGGTGGCAGGATAAGAATGATCTTTTCCTTGATTTGATAAAAGTTGAAAATTTTCTGTAAACAAGAGTAGCAAATATAAACATGAGGTTTGGTGGTATCTAACCTTGTAATAAAACCTTTACTCAAAATTGTAAACGGTTGTAAAAAAGTTTATATTGTTTCTAAAAATCTTTTTTTTGCTCTCTTTATAAACTGTTTGCTTCTTTTAATTTTTGATATAATTTTCTTTTTACTTTTCTTTGTTTTTTTGTTGTTGTTTTTTTTATCTTTATGACAAGTTTAGATTATTTTTTTTTTTTAATTTTTAATTTTAAACTTCTGCATACATAATTTATAGTGTAAGCTATAAATTATATATGCAGAAGTTGGAAAAATATCTTTATCAAATGATTCTGGTGTCAAAGGATCTTCTCTATAAAAGGTATAATGGATTCCAATTTATTTCCCCATATATTTTTAGTATGTTTTTATTAGGTTTTATATTAGGTACCTGCAATTTTTTTTTTTTTTTTCAAATTTATAGATAAGCTAAGTTTTGTAACAGTTGCTTAGTTATTTTAATTTTTATTTATGTCAGAATCCTGCTCAAGCTATTATGGCTGGATCATTATATTCAATAGCCGGTCCTGTAGATCCACCCAAAACTGGCCCACTTGAAAACTATTTTCCAGTTTCCTCTGGTAGCGAACATCATAAGTTAGAAGGTCATGGACAGGAAAAATTACTTGTATATGAACCAGTTGAACCTGAAGAGGTTTTATTTACGATTTTTATTTTTTTAAAGAAAGATTTTTCTTTTATAAAGTTTTTTCTTTTGAAATTTTTTTTTTTTTACAAAATTATTTTATTTTTGTTTTTTAAAGCATATAAATGTTAGTGCTGTTATTGCACGTCGACTGGGTGCACAGCAAATATTAAATTCTAACCCAGATGATTTTTCGGCAAAAGCAGTTCTTGCTGAATGTGACTTGAAGCTTAAAAAATGGAGTGATCAAAATAAAAAGCCTGGCAAATTTACTGGAACTCAATTGGGAACACGGATGAATAAACATGAAATTGTTGGAGCTGTTGAAACCTGGGTCAGAAAGGTAATATTATATTTATAATAATTGAAAGGAATTTCAAATTATTTTCAAGAATCCATTTTCTCAGTCAACAATTTAAAAAAATGTTTTTTAATTGAAAAAATTGTTTTACTAACTTTTTTTTTTTTTTTAATTGTAAAAATTAATATTAAAATTTTATTTATTAAAAAGTTTGTATATGTTTGATTTAAGTAAGATTTTTTTTTTTTTTAAATGATTTAATGGACTATTATTATTAAGAACCTTGTTATCTTTATTTTTTTATCCTTTTTGTTGTTGTTTTTTTTAACTTTTTTTATATAGTTGTTTATATTACTATTACCAAAAATGTTTTGTTCCAAGAAGAATGTCTGGTAGTATAAAATACTGTTTAAAAAGAATGGTATTTTGAAAACCTGTTTAAACCACACAAGTGTGTTTAAAAACCATAATATAAAAAATATTTTGACAGATTGATATTGTCAACATTGTTTTATAAAGTGAAAGCTCTATTTTTATTTGTAAAAAAAAAATGTGGCTTTTATCTTTGTTGCTGAGGAAAGCATGACAACTCAATTCGTTAAGTAGTTGGTTCGAATATTACACTATTGTTTTACTGAACAGGTTTTGTGGTAAATAAACTGCCTGTATTCTTTTGTATGGTTTTCCTTTGATACTTCATAAAGAACCATTTAGCAATGTTTCACAGGAAGACATGCGATTGCATGTTTTTTTTTTTTTTTTTTTTTTTTTTTTTTAACATCTTCACTTCCAACAAGGCTGCAAGCAACCACTATAAGAGTTGGAAGTTACTGGAAGAGAAAAGACTAAATCTGTAGAGCAAGATAACGATTGACTGATGACTTAAAAGATTGCAAATTATATGAATCAGGAAAGCAAGATGAAGGAAGCGAATTCCAAAGAACTGATGTTCGAGGAAAAAAACTAGAAGAATAAGAGTTTTTGAAGCACTTAGGAACAGTCACAGAAAAAGGATGAGACTTAATTGAATGGCGAGTAACACGAGAATGAATTTTAGTAGATGGCACAAGGGACGCTAGCTCTTTAGAGCAGTGCCCATTATAGTATTTGTAGAAAAGAGAAAGAGAAGCAACATTACGACGATGTGACAAAGGTTGGAGATTGGCTGCCAGAGCAGGTCCAACTATGTTTACAATTCGTTTTTGCACCTTGTCTAAAAGAGAAAGAGCATCATTAGAAGATCCGCCCCAGATGTGGCAACAGTATTCCATACAGGGACGGTTTTGAGATTTATAGAGATAGAGAATAGAATCTGGAGTAAGAAAGTGTCGAGCTCGATAAAGAGATGCAACCTTAGCAGATGCTAATTTTGCAATGGATTTGATATACGGTTTAAAAGAAAGATCAGAAGTAAGAGTTAATCCTAGAAGATGAATGGTAGATGACTCATCTAGTACATTACCATTCATAAATATAGGAAGATCTAAATTATTACGATAACGATTGGCCGAATAAAATTGAGTTTTATTTGAATTAAAGTTCACCAGCCACAGTGAGCCCCATGCTGTAGCAGAAGTGAGATCCTTTTCAAGCTCAGATACCCCCTCCAAGCAATCAGAGAGTGTAGGCTTCTTATCATGACAAGAGTAAATGGTAGTGTCGTCAGCGAATAATGCCACCTTAGATGTGAGAATATCTGGAAGGTCGTTAATGTAAATTAAAAAGAGTATAGGGCCAAGGATTGAACCTTGAGGAACCCCTGAAGTTACAGGATGTGAAGAAGAGTGTTATCCATCGAGGACAACTTTTATACTACGATTGGAAAGAAAGGACTCAATAATCTTAAAGACGTTACCAGTGTTGTTGTCATTATATGACCAGGCAAATCATATTTTGCTTTGACAATTTGACCGCAGCTATTAAAAAACATATAAAAATGCGCTAAATCAAAAATATTCTGAATTATACCTTTAGTGAAATAAATTACATCAAAACTTCTGAACAAAGGTTTTTATATTAGCAAAACGCTTTTGAATAAAGTAACAATTTACTGATAATGATTTTTTTTTTAAGTATAATTGTCAGTTGTATATAATTTATTAAATTTATATTATATAAATTATTTAAGTATGCATTTTTTATAATAAATGTTATTAAAAAATAAAATTAATAATTTAGTTTTTATAAACAATTAGTTTCGACAACAACGAAAGTCTCTTTAACAAATTTTATATATAAAATTAATTTAAGTTAATACATTTAAAAAGATAAAAGACAAATTTTTTAAAAGTCGTTACAATTAAAGAAGTTTAATACTCTATTTCTCTTTTGTTAAGATTTTTTTTTCTTTTTTAAAGTAAATTTTTTTTTAGATAAGCTTAAGTAAGTTTTTTTAGTGCATTTTAAATATTGAAAACATTTCAAATCGCCAACAAATTTTTTTTTTGGGTGCGGTCGCTCAACTTCCTGTGAAACACAGAGTTAGAGTTGATAAAAAGTTTGACATCAGTTTCCTTTGTTTATGTTTGTTTTTATTTTTAAAATTGAATGAGGTTGACTTAAATTTTAAAAACTTCTTGTGCTTGAGACTTGGTACCAAGTGTTGTGTGTGAAAGCTGGTACCAAGTATTGTTGCTTTTTGTTGGTTTTATCAAGTTTTTTTTTATCTGAATTCACAAAATACATTAAAAACAATAAAAGCAGACAGGCATCAGCAGGAATGGCGGGGTATTCCACTCTATGCCTGACCAAGTATTTAACATTTAGTTGTGACAACTTGACCACACATAAAGAAGCGTTTTTTAAGCATTACTTGTTAAGAATTATTTGAATTTTATGCAATTTACGTTATGCAAAAACTTTTTTCAATTAGCTTATTTAAACAGTCTTTTAGTTTATGCGAAAAACATTAAGCTGTATTTAATTGTTGTAAAAATATTTGCGGAACATTTTTTTCATTAGATAAAAAAACAGATAGATAAATAAACTTTTTTCTATTTTCCTTTTTTTTTTTTTTAAATTTGTTTTAAATATATTTTATTAAATATAAATTTAATTTATTAAATATTTAATTAAAATTCTTTTTAAAAATTTTAAAACGCCCCGTTTTTTACAATTTTATATTTCAGTTTTGAAATTGCATTTTAACAAAAGTTTTTTCTTTATCATTATTTTTTGAGTTGATTATAGACTGAACGTTGATTAAAAGTGACTAAATGTTTTATTAGTGTGAAGATTTCGTTAAAGCCAAAAGGTTAAAAAAAGGTTGATAGTTTTAATTTTTTTTTGTGAAAAATTAAAGTGAAAACATAGAAATTTTATTTATGATTTTTTTTTCATAACAATATTGTTTAATTTAAAGATATTTTATAAAGATAAGGACTTACAACAATTTATAATGCAGTTTAAAATTTAATTACAATGAGATATTATAAAATACGCAACTGGGGTAATTAAACTTTTACTGATGTAAATATCTTTTTTGAGTAAAGTCACATTATTTGCGTTAACTAACTTCAAAAAGCCATGGTTAAGCTGTCACAACTAAATGTTAAATACTTGGTCAGGTTTAGAGTGGAATAGCCCGCCATTCCTGCCAAGGCCTGAGTAGAGCTGTTGATGTACTTTAGTTTGCATTATATATTGTAACTAGGGATGTACCAAAATTTCGTACCTGCCGGCATTTGTGACTTCATCAATCCAGTTTCGGCCGGAATTACAATATTTGGAAATCCGGCCGAATTCATTTTTTACTTTTTTTTTAAAAGATTTGTGACAGACTCTACAGCCGTTTTTCAAAACGCCTTTTTGAGTTGCTTTTTACGTTTTTTGAGAAAAACAATATTTGATATATTTTAAATTTTACAGTTTTACAAGAGATTTATAATTGCTTTTTATATAGATATATAAATGTTTTTTTATATATAAGCTTTCTTATCTTAATACGTATCCAGATTGTAATAAATATATATGTTTTTAAAAAATTTATTGGTGTATGTAAATTTTTTCTCTATGAAAATCAATATTTTGACTTTTATTAAAAATAATATTTATTTTATTTCAAAATTTAACTATTTTTGTGTTGTTATTTTTTAAAAGACCACAACATTTGGAGCAATTATTACAACTAGTTCCAGATGTTTTAGGACTTTTTTATAAACTTTAACACAAAAATTATCTATTTAAATCACGCGTCCAAATATTTAACTATCTGCACTTTTAATGACCTCTCAACTTAAAATTTTTATCAAAATATAAATAAAAATCTATTCAATGTGGACCTAATTTGTCAAAACTATTAGCAATTTAAATTATGAGAATTCAGAAAATGAAAATAAAAAGGAATCCACAATGTTAATAAAGGATCGTCGCAAGAAATTTCATAAAAAGCAGAAAAGAAAAGATTCTGAGATTAAAAGAAAATCAATTCATAAAATTATAGCGGATGATTGCAATTACAAATATGAGTGTGCCAAAAGTATCGCTATAGATAGAAGACATTAAATTAATGTCTATATATATTTTATATATTATATATAATAATTAATATGAATGTGCCAAAAATATCGCTATAGATAGGAGATATTAGATAAACGGTGAGTAAATTGCTAAAAAATCACTACATTTGGATCACTAAAAACGTTCAAAATGCAAATTTTAACCAAAAAAAAATGATTAATAGCAAATCCAAAAAGTTAAACTTTCGCTATTTTTTGGTTGGTGACTATTAATCAACTATTTAGTATGCTAAAAATTTTATCTTAACTTTTTAGGATTGAAAAATACAAATAATAAAATGATTAGTCAAGCTTTTTAACAAACAATTCAACAATAAAAGGCAGCAGCATAAACATAGCTAAACATAGCAAATATAAGATAGAAGAATTAGTTGTATACGTAATGAGCTATTCACTAATCTTATCACGTTACAAACATAAGAACTCTTCCTTCCGATTTGAATGTAAAGAAAATGTTGGGGAACTTCAACAAGTACAATAATGTTGTTAGCTCTGAATCAACGTTCAGAAAATTTATAAAAAAAT